TGGTAATTGTTTCAGGCTTGATCCTTCTGAGCAGTAAGTCAAAAGTCTTTATTGAATTTTTACTGATTCTGAATCTTGCTGAATGCAAAGATTCCCTAATCTAACAAAAATAGCAGTTTAATGTAGCAAAGAACTTTCTGTCTAGTTTTTGCCTTAAACTTGAGGACTTCACGCAGCCTTTGTTTTTCTAAAAAGCATATACTATATATTAGTTCACAACATAAAAGCAGTTCTTCCATGTAGCTGTGAAGTGACAACTGCTAATACCTCAGGCTAGCCTTAAAGGAGGTTTAGAAGAGTTTTGTGTTTCAGAGAGGAAGGTATCCCTTTAGATATTCTTGTTCTTCATACAGATCATTAAAACTTGCTATTTGGAAAACCTCCCAAACATCATCTAACTTCTTTCTGACAAAACCAAGCAATTTTTATTTTATTTGACACCTTGTAAGGTACAAAAAAGTGTGTATCAGGACCTGATTTGAAGTACAGCATGCTGTAGAATTACTATGCTTCACAAAAAGGACTAGGAGCTGTAATGTACCTCTGATGTATAGAGAAAAATAGCTCAGCTCCTCACAGAATGATGGAGGCAGATAGCATTTCTAGAGACTGTGGTGCCAACAGCCTGGTACCAAGACAAATCAAATCTGACTGCTGAAATGAGACACTATTAATGTCTTATCAACCCTGTGAATAGATCCCCTGAACATCATTAGAGTCCATAGTTAGGTAGTATTTGCTCATATAATTGAGTGTTGTTTTGGTTTTTTTCTGAGAGAACTAAAAAGCATTTGGATGTTCTTGTAATTATTTTCCAAACAAAGTTACCTTCTGATCCTTTATTCTGTCCTTGCTGAAGAAGTTTATGTTCATGTTTGATGACTTATACTCCTAGGAATGAGGATCAGTTCAGTAAATTTTGTCTAGAACAAAATCCCCTGCCTTCAAAACTTTCATGCTGTGTACCCATATGTGCTGGACTCTGTTTTGAACTAAAACTTGAATTCATACAGTTGAATGGATAACTATTTGGTAATACTCCTGGGGGTGTTGATGTGATTCAGTGTGGGACAGGCAGCTCTCCAGAGAGCAACCTGTGGAAAGGAACAAAGAGAAACCGTTTTGCTGGACAGGGGTTTTGCTGCTGGCTGCTCGCCTGCTCTGCAGCATTGTTTGGAGGACATGTGCCTGCTCAAATGTTTTCTGTGGCTGGAAGCAGACAGCTTTGTTGAATGCTCTAATTGCTGGTAGGCATGAAAGGATTGCCTGGATGATTGCTTCCTAGGCTGTCCTTTGATGTTTCGTATTATCTGGAAGAAAAGATGATCTTTTCCTTTATCCATCTTGTTAATAGGTGAAAATAAAATATCTCCCCTCGGCTTTCATTCCAGAACGTATCATGGTCTGATTAGCTGTATCATGGTCCAAAAGACTCCTTTTTATCTTTTGAAAAGGTTTGTAAAACACAAGTGTAGTTGTCACAGTCCACTTTCACAGAAGGCATTAGCAACAGGTTCAGTTCATGGCGATGGGCTCCAGGCGGGAGAAATACTCCCCTGTGAACACAAGGTCTATCAAATACTACAGAATGGGACTGTGGCTGGGACTTTGGGATGTGATCCTTCTGAATGCACACTGTAAATGTTGGACTACAATTAGAATGGGTTCTTTGTTAAATTTCAGTTATTTTAATTTTTACATACAGTAATTTTTATGCCAAACTCGTTTTGCCTTACTTTGCTGCAAAATTTGAATAGCAGGGAAATACACTGAGGCGTGATATTTTGAAGATCCTTCTTTTACACAAATAAGGCTTGATTAGTGCAATATGAAGTGTTGTAATGAATTTAAACTATAGCTATAATCAATAATGATGTGATCTATGTTGTTTGCTGAAATTTGCAAATTAACAGAGTAACAAAAAAATCTATAATAAATAAAATGTTTTAATTCTCTTATTAAGAAATGCCTAACTGCAAGAAATTGTGACGCGTTACTTCAATCCATGTAAACTGTCACTAACACTTTACTTTTGAGAGAGTACTGCCAGCGTACTTGGAAATACCAGAATACTTAAAAATATGTAGCTTTTCTCAATAGCACAATCTTCCTCAGTTTAATTTGGTTTAGGTCTCCTCTGTGATGCAGAATTCAGATTCTGATTCACCTAAGTTCAGGAGTGTGACCTTTGAATCAGAGCTTATTTTACTTTCTAATGAAGAGTTGACAATTACTGTATAAGAAACTTATTGTCTGTTAAATTTGACTCAAATATATTGTCTGACGTTTTTTAAGATACTGTTTTGGACTTTATTGGCAATTAAGAATGTAGTTCTTGAATTAGTTGTAAAATTTGGGAAAGAACTGCAAAGTATTGCATGAAACATAGATATCCATGTGCAATTTTTATATAATTTTACTGAATTAAGAATACAGTTTCTTTTTTTTAGAATTGCGTCCTCTCTTTTCAGACTATCTGGTTTGGGATTCAATTTTTTGGAATGATGAGACGTGTCAGTCTTGATCTTCATAGTACCTTTGGAGTAAACTGGTTACAATGCCAGTGGCCAAGGCCGTTAAACTTCTATTGAATTTTGTCATGGTCTCCTTAAATTATACCAGCTTCCCAACTTTAATCTTCTAAGGACAAAGAATGTATATTTTGTCTTGTGGTGTAATCAAGGAGTATATCTACATGTCTACAACAGTGGCCTCTGATTTTCATTTTGTTATGACACAAAGTATAAAGAGCATGTCTGGAACTTTTATTTTCTCGGCCAAGAGGTCATGCTGTTTGTTGCTTTTTATCTGTGGAACCAAGTCTTTATCTGGTTTCTCTATAAATCGTGTAGTGTGTTAGAGAATGTTTTGCACCAATGGTTTATTTTAAATGTCTTTATAATTAAGTTTAAAATAGAATAAACTATGTGATTATATTATTCATGTCTCGGCATGGAGAAGGCTGAGCATTGATTCACCTCCTCATTCACCAAACAGCAGAAATGAAGCAGTCATGAGACTCAGGCTATGGGACATTCAGGGAAATAAATAAGTTGTTCTCTTCAAAGTTGAAGGGGAAAGGATTGCAGATCAGTCATGGGTCCTGTTGATCTTTTTGCTACTAGTCAGCTCTCTTCTTAGTGTTATAAATGTGGAGAGGACTTACTGACTAAAAAATTCTTGATGATAACCCTTATAATGCCTTGATTTAAAAGTGATCTTCTCTGCATTCATCTCCAAGTCACTGTCTTAAGAGTTACATATAAACCAGCTAGCAATAATCGGGTGACTTGCTTATTTTGATGTGGCCATAAGTTTTGTGGTCATATACAGGCAGAAATAGAGTGTGCTTGGACATATCCCTGCAGGCAATTTTGCAGACATCGCTTTGATAGGGACCAACTCTGACTGGACTTTTGTCTTACATTTATATTAGTCTGGTGAAAAAAGACATAGAGTAACCACAAGTTTTGTATCATACAATTACATCTTTCCTTTTTTTTTTTTCCTTGGTGGGTATTGGTGACATCACTTAAATGTGTCTCTGCATGTTATCTCATTTTTATGTGAAGTGCTCAGAACTACAGGAGAAATTGTACTTTAAGAAAAAAAATAAGGAAATTAAATGTGCGAGATTAACTGATATAATTTTGAGAATTTGGTTTATGCAGACAAAATTCCAGGAAATTCAAAGCTTAGCCTGAGCTGTAGTCCGTCAATCAAACTGTTATGATAGAATAATGCTAGTAATCAGAAAAACAGAAAAGATGTGAGATACAAGAAGAGTGCGAGTCTTAATGATCCTGACTGTAATTGTATTCTAAATGAATGTTTTGTATTTAATTTCCTGAGGAAAGGAAAACGTTTATGGAAGTTTACTTAATTGATGGGGCACTTTTCAAAGCCAAAATATTTCAACACCCCACAGATTTGACTAGTCTCAATAGCTGAATGGTGTGATTATATATTATGTTCTACAGGCTCTCATTTTAATCTTGTACTGATGTTTGTAAAAATATATGCAGTTACTTTTTAAAGCAGAACTTAGGAAAGCAGTCTTTTTACCTCAGTGAAATACTTGAGTCATTTTTGATAGTCACGGGGACTAGAAGCTAATGTACTAAAATACTACAATGTTACTACATGCATGCATCCAAGTCACCCAGTTGCAAATTGCTGGTTTGAAAGAAGTTCATTTACAAACCAAGTATGTTCTTGCTGCAGAACTAAGTATCTTTCATTCCTCACGGAACTTTGAAAGAAAAAGTTTAAGATCAAATGTAATGAACTCAGACACTTTAATTTGAAAGCAAGTAAGATTCTTTATTGAAGTAATATTGCCTTGAAATGCATTATATTTTGGTTCTGATATGCCAATTGATTTGTGGATTAAACAAGCTACAGGAGCTGATGTTAGTAAATTTCAAATGAGCTTAAAAAAGATTCAAAACAAGAAGGCATTTTCAGGAAACCTTTTACTACCATCAGTCAAAGAGCATTTTGGGTGTAGTATTCAATATTGCATTTATAACGCTCTTATGAATATATTTTATGTTAAGCATAACACTGTTCAATACTACAATTAAAGCATACAGAAAAGATTGTAATTGGCAGACCAGTTAAGAAAGAAAACTTCAGGTTTGACCTTGATGTGTCATTCTGTAACAACCTGGAGAAATTACTTAATTCTTGTGGCTGTGAGTATGTTGTGAAGAAGACTGGTATACCAGCATGCTACAGAAACATTTAAGATTCAAAGTATATTTTTTAATTAATGAATATTACATAATTTTCTATGCAGTTAGCAGTTTTGATGTTATCAGTTTAACTACCTGTATGAGCTGCTCCAAATAGAGTAGGAGAGGAGGTAATGATAATAACATAGAAAAAGAGGATATTTGAAAAATATTCATAATGTATGTGAAACTTGTTTTTATCCTAATCTATTGTTCTTTTCGTAATAGGATATTCTGGCATTTTTTGTCTTGCTTTCTATGTAGGACTGGCTCATCATATCTGCAATCTCCTCATAGAAACTGTGGCTCTGTACTTGGAGGCAGATGATAAAAGCAGCACCAAGACAGCCAATGCGCTGCTGCTGTCCTTGCTTGACATTTTGCACTGTGTGCTGTCGTACGCAGCCAACATCGTGCGCCAGACCTTACAGGTATGGAATTTATTTCCTGGAGTCACCACCATCCTAAGCAATTTCCTTCAGGTAACTTCCTGTTATCACAATGATGACATTTCCACTATTCTGATTTTATTGAATTTTTAGTGTGTTGACAAGAGAAAAGCATGTATTTTTAAACTTCATGTCACTGTTTCATGTTGTTACCTGGCTGGACAATATGTACTAGCCTCAGTGTGTGCTAGTAGTGCAGATCTGAATTGAGTGGTTTGTTTCTGTACAACATAAGTAGCTTAATTTCACATTTGCTTGATGATAGTTTGAAGTATTTTTTTCAATTAATTTTAAAAGAAAAAAATGACTGTATAAAATCCAGCATCATTTTATTATAAATCACATGTGATTACTATACTTGAAGATTGCACGTAACCTTTGCATGGCCGCTGACAAAAGTATTTCCTCTCTTACACTGCTCAACTTTTCTTCTGAGTTTCTATCTGAGCCACTGCAAACCATGGCATTGGTAGGATGTCCTCCTGAAGTGGAGACATTGTCCTTGTTAAAAATGAAGCACAAAAAGGAATCACACATAAGTATTAAAAACATATTTTTTTCAAACTGATTGTTAAGCTAGCTGTATTTGCTTTGTTTTTAATGATCTTCCAAATTTGTAAGTCGTGGGTCAACAATGGATAGTAAATAGGACTGCTTAGGATGGCAGTTTGTTTTAATGAGGGGGGATGAGTTCAAGTAGTAACAGTTCTTATTGGACTTTGGTCACTCCCAGGTTTTAGTATTCCTATTTAAAAAATAAATTATTATAATGTATTCTGAGTATTTCAGGATACAGTGTGATTCAGAAGGGCAAAACTGCACATTATTGCTGAGAACCCAAACTTTTCAGTCACCTGGCTTTTCTTGGTTTGAGTTGCACGTAAAATTGTTTCTAATGAAGGAAAAAATACTTGAAGGTTAAAATAGGCACGTCATGTTTGAAAAAAACCCAACAAATGCATATAAACATTTATAGCTTTAGGGATAGCTTTTGCATATGCCGTTTGTAGCATTTTGCTGAAGAAATGTCATGTAGGTCTGTATATTTAGCTTGTGCTGAATGGCCATAACAGCATGAGTCCCTTTTGCTTTGTGCTTTTTGTAACGGACAAAGGCAGTATCCTTGCTCATGGAGAGCTCAGGGATATTTAACTGGAAGAGAGTCCATAAGTCTCCTTCAGACTTCCATTCAAACTTTGAACACCTAGTGGACCTAATTTGTTTTTCACAACAGAACAGTTACCAGTGTGGCTTTTTGTTTTTTCTCCCCTTATTAAGGCACAGAAATCTGGCACAGGAGGGGACACACAGGCTGCTGAAGACCTTCTGCTCATCAGTAAGCCCTTGACAGACCTAATCAGCCTGCTTATTCAACTGGTGAGGGTTTGCCTGTTTGTAAGCCGTTTGGATATTGCTGAAGTAGGAATTATTCATCTGAATTCAACATCTTAAAGCTCTGTTTCCTATTTTTCTGTTGTTCGTAAGCTCCCACCTAGTATGCAGAAAGGACCTTACCATTTTTTTTTTTAGGATTTAATTCGAAACAAGTACTGCTACCATTAGAAGAGTCAGTAGACTTAAAATTAATTTGCAGTGAGTGGTGCCTTTTAATATTATTTGCTTGGGTTTGGGCCTTCTGAGTTTTTCTCAAGGGTTGAGCTTTATTTTAGCATGATCCGGAGGGATCTATGAGTGGGAATAGTCCCTGGTGATCTGTAAACATCTTTGAAGTCCAAGTCAGTCGTTTCCAGGCTTTACTAGATGTCCCAGCACTGCATTGAAATCTCAGAGTGCTGAATTGTGAGCCTGATGCATCCCGTCAGCTCAACTTCCCTCACTCTGTGCCAGGGATTTGTACTGACTCTGTATGTAAGTCTATGGTAAGTCTGTGGTAAAGGAATGCTTTTTGAGCCAGACAGGGTTTTTAGAGGCTGCCTTCGCCTTTTATTCAACATAAAGCCAGTAAAATGGGATGTGAGAATTGCCCTGTGACATATCACACTACCCTTTCCAGGTTATTTCACTCGGAGGCATTATGGATTCCCTGTATTCTCTTCCAGACACAATTTTTTTATATTTGTTTTTTGTTTAAATATAAGTTTTCAGATGTACTGTGATATGAATACCTGTGGCCCTTTTACTGTCTTTAGCGCTGTCTGTCATCATCTATTTTGGGAAAGAATGTGATTCCTTTTTTGTTAATTTTTGGCGTTATACTTGGCTAAGTCCTCCTTTGATGGATTTATTTTAAGCAGCTCTTGACAAAGGCTTTTTAGAAATCTTCGCTGAATGACCTATAACAAAGTGACTGAATTTCAACTATATATTATTTCATCTTTATAAATTCTATGAATTTATTTTGTATTACTTTTGTTAAATCACTGTATATGATAAATAGTAAGACATGAAGAAATGCAAATGTTCCTTTAAAGTGAAACTAGTCATAAATTTAAATTCCATTAGCTCTCTAAAGAACAGAAAATTAAGAGGCCAAGCTTTACTCAGCCTGTACCACCTGAAAGTCTTCATGTAAGTTTTTAATTAAAGGATAGGATAATTGTATAGTTAGCATGTACTGATTAGATTAGGACTGGCCCTTGTATTTCAGAAGCACGGCTGAAAATTGCCAACAGATTTTGCTTTGTTCTGTAGTTCTGCAGATTCTGGTATGTTTAAAATGTTGGTATGAGAAAGAACCAGGTCTAACTAAGCTCAAGTTCTGTGGAGCTGCCCACAGTACTTCTTGATATTCATTGAGCTGTGTGGCAACATAACATACAGCATACAACGTAACTACTGTTTTGAGGCATTCAGTTCTTTGTGAACTTGAGAGCTAATGGAGGTCTTAAATTCTGAACTAACCATCACCTTAAGTTATTGTCTTAAAAATTATTTTCTCTGGTTTGCTATTTCTAACTGTCTTACCATATTTATTGTTTCTTGCGTCACTTATATAATTGCTTTCTCTCATTGATACGTATATCCCTCAAGCAGCTGACTGTTCCATGCCCCATTGACATATCTTCATTTATTTTCCATGAGTTCTACATGTTTATCTCTCTTAATAATCCCTCAGAAAAATCTAAGTGAGTTAAACTTGAAAAAGTCAAAAACTTAGAGTAATTCTTTTCCTTCTGTGATTTGGTCTATTACTGAGGGCATAGCAAAGAAAGTGTAGGCAGCATAGATTGCATGTAAGTGAAACTTCAAGGGGTTTAGGAATGCAAAAGAAGAAATAACTGCAGATTCTGTCATGCAGAAACCACTGCAAATATTGAGAAGTCAATATTTAATCCTATGATCAGTCTGCTCTTAATTGATCAATAAGAGGAAAATTAATTGAGCATTTAGTCTTCTGCTTGGCAGCTTTGTGTTGAGAAGTTAATTACACTTAGCTTTTCTAATGTTTCTCTGGTTGAACACAAACATAATTTGATTATTATACTGAAACTTGCAGCAATTATACAAGATATATATTTTGCTTTTTTATGTACTGCTGTACTGAAGAAAAAAAAATAATGTTTACTTACTTTAAAAAGTGTGGATTCTCAGAAATTTCTTGGAAACTTTCAGATGCCTTGCCAGTACCAGTTTCATTTCTCTTCTACCAGTTCTAGATCCTAGGTGTAGATCAGCCAGTCTTTCCTGCAGGCTACCAGACTGCTGGGAGAGAACTTCTGTTGTCTTCTGGTGGTAGACTTCATCATTATAGTACTACTCATAAAATTTGCAGTCGATTACTGTGCTCTGCATATTACTATTCAAAGACCAGTTAATTGTGTGTGAATGCAAAGCCTCAGTGCACGTGGATGAATGAGATGGTCTCTTCTAGGTCCTTTATATCCCTGTGTGGCACCGGCTCTGAAAATTACCTTGGCTTCAGAGCACATGAAGGTATTTGCCAATGAATAATGAAAATGGCTGCAGAAGAATGATAACCCTGTAGGCTGCAGAGTTTTATTTCACATTTCTTAGGAATACAGACAGTCCTGTGGTCAAAGTGTAAAGACGTGTTTATTCTCCATGTTGTAAAATATATTGCAGTTACTGTGTTTGAAAAGTTATCTGCAAATTATATTTGAAGAATCCTCTCCTATTGAGCTACCTTAAGAAACAGACTGACTCAAAACAAAAAACAAACAAGTCAAGACACACCAGAAGAAACAAGAACATGTCAACATAAGCTTAGAATTTCAGAATGGACATTTAGTTTTGTAGCAGTTAGGATTGATTAAAATGAAATGAACAGAAAGTATATTATTTCTTTTTTTTTTTTAAAATGTTTTCCCTTAGGTAGGAGGATGACAAATTTGCCCTAAGCCAAAATATAGTATTTAATTCTTTCATTTCTAACTGTGCATATTTACTAATAAGTATGGCATAGTAAAGTTAGCAGATTTAATAATGTTTTGCTTTACATTTTGTTTAATGTTTGCAAAATCATCTTTCTTATGGTTCCCAGCGGTCCTTCCTTTACAGCACATTCTGTAATCACATTACTAATCTGATGAACGTCTATCTCTTAGTGGAATAAACTCTCTTTTTGTGTAACCTCATTAATGCACTGAAATTGTGTCCCCTCTGGGTAATCCAGACAGTTTCATTGTAGCTCTAAAATTAGATGGAGTAACAACTCTGACAGTGTGAAAACTGCCACTGCAGCTCAAATGATCACGTTTCTTGCAGTGGTTTGTGATTCCCAAACATGTGGCAATTCAGTTCAAAATGAAGGTGTTTTTGACAACAGACTATGGAAATACAGATATGTAATAACAAGAAACTTTCTGCTCTTCACCATATTTTCCTTAAAATACAAAGAGCAGGTTCTATGTAGAAAGGAAGAGAAGCAGAATTTTGTGGCGTGAACCTGTTCACAGGAAGTTATAATGTGGCCATAAAAATGAAGTAAAATTAATGCACTATCTTCATTGTGGAAACGTCTTGTTATTTTAAAATATTGAAGTGAAAAATAAGTCTACAGCTCTGAGTTAGAGAACAGCAAAAATTATTACTTTAGCTGTTCAGTAATTTATTTTAAGGTGCTGGATTTTCCTTAAGCTATACACTAACCCAGAATATTAACACCTGCAAGGAGGCGTATGAATGTTCCTACCTTGCTGAAGGGTTGAATCCGTAATCCCCTCTAAGACTGATAAAGAAAAAGAAATGAAAGGCCACACTAGAGGTTTCTTTATGTAATTATGAAATATTAAAGGAAAGATATTTTCTTAAAGAGATAAATTCTAGATTTTCATGGGTTTCTCAAAGAACAAAAACTTAAGTAGTTGCTATCATGAAAAACTATAAATGCATTTCAAAGACTTAAAATATACTTCTTCATGTCAGATGGAATTTTTATGTTTAGAAAAATAATCAGAACAGTGTTCCAGCTGATTAAGAGATGAACTATCGGTCTGTATTCATTGTCTAGCAACATGATTCTAGCTTTGTGGTTCTTATTAGACAGGAGATGTACTATTTACTTGAAAGCTGAATTTTCCTTGCTTGGTTTTCTGTATTTACAGATGTTTATTATATTTTCAGTGATTGCTTTTGTTCATATCAATCATTTTGTTCCAATCTCGTACTCTTTGTAACCAGTGCTAAGCATTGACCGGTAGCCAATGTTAAATTCCACGTTACCAACTTCTGACATCTAAACCACTTCTTGTCAGTAGTGAAACAGCAAAATGCTGAGACTCAAATTAAAAATGCTGATGCAGATATACTTAAATAGGGACATTTTTCAGTTCCTCTTCCACCTTAATTATTGATAGGTTGGACTGTAGGCCAAAGATTCTCATCCTCTCCAGAGTAAATATATTTTTTCCTATTCATCCAAGGCCAATGCTGTTACTGTTTTACCATGCCATTTTCCAAGATGACAGCAAGAGCTAGCCCCCACTGCAATACCAGGGCAAGGATGTATCTGTCCAAATGTTGGCGGCTTTTTTTATTGTTTTTTATCAGCCAACAAAGAATGTTTGAAAAATTAATATAGTTATTTTACTGTGATTTCCTTCAGAGAGTCAATATACCCATCTATACTATCTAGTAGCAAACTGTAAGCTAGCGTACTGCTTTTAAAAGAGATGAGGTACATGTTAAAGTAGTTTAATTTTTCTTTCTTTTATCTAGTAACATTTTTTTTCAATGAAGGAAGTACAAGCTCAAAGCCCCCAGTGACATCAATGGAATTTTTTTCTAGCTCGATAAGTATTAAAGATATAAATGGAACTATGAAGTTTGTTTCTATTTGTAGCTTTTCCTCTCTTTTTATCTTTGCTATTTATGTTGATGATTATATTAGCTAGTTCTGGGTGTTGGAAAGGAAACAATCAAATAGGTGGCATTTAAATTGGAATGAAGAAAAACCATGAAGCAAAACAGTTGAAGAACTAGCTGCTATGGTCCTTTCACTTGCATAGCATTAGGTCAAATAGAATGTGGTATGTCTTGGGGCTATGTATTCAGACCTTATATCTCAGTTCAGTTTGTTTTAAACAGCCAACTCTATGAAGCTAATGGAAAACAGGATTGTATTTGCATGTAGATCCCTGAGGAATGGCTGCTTCAACATTTAAGGAGTATGTATGTCTGATGATACGTTCACAGAGCACATTAAAGTAACTATGGGTTTCCCTTACACTGAAACAGCTTAGGAAGTTCATGCTGTGGATTAAATAAGTAATCAGTATTGAAATGAAAAAATATCTTCACCATGAGAGTGATGAGACACTGGAGCATGTTGCCTGGCGGATTCGTGGCAGCCATCTCCCTGGAAGTGCCCAAGGCCAGGTCAGGTGGGGCTTTGGCAACCTGGTCAGGCAGGAGGTGTCCCTGCCCATAGCAAAGGGGTGGAAAACGAGATGGTCTTTAAGGTCCCTTCTGACCCAAACTATTCTATGAAATGGTTGAGCATGTTATCTAAATGGTTGGACACATTATGTAAATTGTTTCTTTTTTATTGTCAGTAAGGATGGTCTGTTAACTGTACTTTAGTCTAGGACTTTTGGAAATAAAAAGCCGCCTAGGAGTGATGAGGTGTTTTTTGTACTTCTATACCTTATTGGTTAGGACCACCACTGCTATATTTTACTCAGTTCATAGATTGTCAGGTAAGAAGAGGCTATTGTAAATATTTAATCTAGGGTCTTACATAACACAAGACATAGGACTTAATTTAAAAAAAAAATTAAAATAAAGAAGTTGTGTTATCTATAAATTGCTTGTGATGGAGAATCCCAGTTCTAAGAAAGCTGTTTTAGCAGTTAATCGCTCTTATGAAAGAAAGAAAAAAGGGAGTCAAAGTATTATCATCCTTCTAATCTGAATTGCTGTATCTAAAATTTTGAGCTATAGTCTCTTATTAGTCCTTTTTCAGGTAAAGGAATTAACCTATCCTCAGCCTTCTTTTTTCCACATGTAACTGAGAGAATATTATCAGGAGCCCTTTAACCCTCCCTTTGATAAGCTGTAGACACTGAATTTCTTCAGGCCTTTTCTGTTATGTTTTCCAATCTCTAAGCCTCTTGTATGCTTCCAAGAAATCTCTGTCGTTTTTTTTTGTTAGGCTTTTGTGGACTGTCTGAGCTAAACTTAGACATTACATTCCTGTTATCATTCTGAACTCAAGCATAATATCATACCTCTACTTATTATTTTCAGTTTATACTTGCAAGAAATATATAAATCATTTTGGTAGTGGTGTTGTACTATCAGAAGCTCATTAAAAGATGATTGTTAGCTATGGCCCCAAGACTCTTCCATGGTTTTACTTCCCAGGAATGATTTTTTCCATCCATTGCTAGGGCCTGCCCCAGTGTCTGCTCTTCAAAGAAGGGTAGAAAACATAGAATTCAGGAAAATACTTAAAATCTGCAAAATGTACCTCCTAATGTGACTACTTAAAATCCATTAAATAGCCCGTACTCTACCTCAGTCAGAAGCCATCGACTTGATTTAGAAATAATTAGATGAGGTTTTATGGTGTGTATTATGTAGAAGATGAGACACCATGAATATAATGATACTTTCTGCTATTACTGCTTTACACTGCTTGAAAATAACAGAGTTGGGAGCAACATTTTTCCATGCTTTTATTATAGGCTATTTGATAGATATTTGGAGACACTGTTACACTGCTGCTTGGGACCATATATGTTTTAATTATACTTTATTAAGCTTACTTTGATGGAATTTTGAGTCAGTCAACTAGAAATTATTCTTTAATGACACAATGCAGTTGTTAATACTCATCCAAATCCACAGTCATAGTGCAATTTTTCTGAAATTGGATTTGATTTTTGTTTGGGTTTTTTCAGCTCCCCAGTGAAGATACTGAAATATTTGTGAGTGCCTCACAATGCTTATCGTTACTGGTCCAGCTGTATGGAGGCAGCAGTCAGGAGAACATGTCTCCAGAAAACATGGTCAGCTTTGCTGAAGTTCTGAAGTCCAAAAAAGATCCACGACAACTGAAGCTTTTGTTGAGAATCATAAAGAGACTGGTGAGTTGGCTTCTAACCATTTTAAAAGTACATATGTTTTTTGGATATTGTTGGGTAACTTTTTTGGCTGTTTATTTTCCGGTTAAAGTAAAAATGGGTATAGAAAATTGAAAACAGAATATATGAAGTTAAATTACACGTATTTATATTTTAGTGAACTTGTCCAGAGAGCATAGCCTTATGCAAAATGGTTATTAAATTTCTCCTGTTTCAGTTAACCATTCAGCTATTTAAATAACTCTGGTTCTTTATATATTTGTTTAGTAGTTCTGCTTTATGAAGTGTTGGAACAATTTTAAGAGTGCCTTCCCAAAGAACTAACCTGGTAGCTTTAAATAGCTGTTTAGAAAAACAGTGCTTAGTTTTGTGGTAAATAAAATGCTATTTTGTACTTGAAATAGGCTTGTGCATAGCATGCTGACTGCTCATTCTCTCTGAGTGATAGGAATAACTTCTGCTGGAGTGGTTTCATGTAGGACGCCCATCAGCACAGGGCTTTAGTGTGGTGATGTTAGGGATGATGGGGCTTTCAGTTCTGTCATGCTTGGACTCGGGACATGGCAGCAGTGTTGTGTCTTGCAAGTAGCTTAGGTGGAAAACCTTCTATATCTGTAACATTCTGTCAGATGATACTATTGTTTTTATCTCAGGGTGTCTTGAGAAGAAGCTTTCCTGCATTGTCACCTTGTGTTGGTTGGTTACTTCACCTTTATTCTCCAAGAATGGGAGTTTTCATTTAAAAGAGGATAACTTGCCCAGTGTAAGAGGCAGAAAACAGTTGAATTTTGCAAGTGTGATGCTGTCTACCAGAGTAAGGACATGATCAATGGCAGTGGGAGTTAAGAGGAAGCAACTCTTCTGGAGAGCTTGGAGAGCTGTTCCTGTCCTCTTTTTCCAGCCTGTTGTATTTACATTACTGAAAAGTAAACACTGCACCGTTCTCAGTTTCCCTCAGTCCTCTATTTACCTCAAAGAAACATAAATATATCAAAGTAAAATGGATATTATGTTTAAAATTCATAATTTCTCTCATTCTTGACATCATCTCAGGTTTCACTCCTTTATTTTCTCATGCTATTCCTGAGAAGGGAATTCTAGGAAAGATTTATTTTTTTTAAAAGGCACTTTTTATTCATTTTTGCATATACTTGTGCTTCTCTGTGTAATTGTTGTACTTCATAACACCAGCTTTTGCTTTTCCCCAAAAGCAGTAAGAGAAAAGAGGGAGCAAAGTGTGAGGAAAGAGAAGTGAGACTGCAATATATGTATCTAGATGATTTAACTGTAGCGTAGCTGTGGAATTGTCTCCTTTCCCTCTATTTTTATAGTTCAGAAGTTGACCTGACATACGTGATATTTAACACAAGATCTTTTGTTGATTGTCTTAAGAGAACAAAGCTATGCTGTTGCTTTTTGAATCTTGCACATTCCTGTACATTTAGATCTCTCCTTTGTATACCAGTGATACTGGTACTTGTTATTTATAATATCAGGCATAGATTTTCTGTAATTATTTTAATGAGATCATAGGATTTCTTTTGAAAGCAGGGCTCCTAGATAATTTGACAGATTATTTAATAGGTCTTACATTATTTCCCTAAACCTTAAAAAGTCCTGTTCAGAGAAGATGATTATCTTGTCAAAATTGTTGTAATCACAAAAGACATAGAAATATAATCGTATCTATTTAAGAAAGATTCAGCCCACATCAGTTGTTCATGCTGAATTTTGAAGCCTAGAGCAGTATTTTTTCTTTTTTTAATATCTGAGCAATATTTTAGTAAAGGGATCATTCCATGCTTGCCAATCAATGCTTGAACAGAGCGTCTTTCCAATCTGTGGTTGCATTAGCTTCATTGTTCCAGGCACAGATATTGCTTACTTGAGACAGCAATAATTCAACTGTGCTTATGCCTTAGATGTCTTTATATTATATATATTTCTGGAAATTAAGGAAAAGGCAAAGCAGTAGTAGTAGTTAGTCCTTGTCCAAGTGCTTCATAAGAACCCAGTGAGCCAATGGAGATGACATCAAAGAGATGTCTCAATTCCAGTCTTCAGTTTAAAGCATGTCAGAGAATTTGTTGACATACAAGATGACCTTACCTTGGTGAAATGGAAATTTATGCCTATATGTTGTTTTGATTTAATAGTATTCATTCATTAAGTTTTATCTTCGGTGGGTGGAAAGCATTGTTGGTGGGGGGGTGGGTTGGACAAAGTTTGAGGGCTTTTTGAGTTTGTTGGTTGGTCTTAAATGGCCATTTTCAATTTTGACCAGCACATTGACTGCAGGGCAATATAAGCTTCTTGCAACACTTTCTTCATTTTTGCCCCACAATTTTGTTGCATTCTATGACAAAGCTACAGCGCTGGTTGACATGGGAAAAGCAAGGGATGTCATTTTCCTGGACTTGTGCAAGGCGTTTGACACTGTCCCACATGACACCCTTGTCTCTAAAATGGAGAGACACCGATTTGACAGATGGACCACTCGGAGGATAAAGAACTGGCTGGATGGTCGCACTCAAAGAGTTGTGGTCAATGGCTCGATGTCCACATGGAGACCAATGACAAGTGGAGTTCCTCAGGGGTCTGTTCTGGGTCCAGTGCTGTTCAACATCTTTGTCAGCCACATGGACGACAGCACTGAGTGCACCCTCAGTAAGTTTGCCGACGACACCAAGCTGTGTGGTGCCGTGGACTCACTTGAGTGAAGAGATGCCATCCAGAGGGACCTTGATAGGCTTGAGAAATGGGCCAGTGCAAATGGCGTGAGCTTCAACAAGTCAACATGCAAGGTCTTGCACCTGGGCCGGGCTAATCCCAGGCACAAATACAAACCAGGCACAGAGTGGGTTGAGAGTAGCCCTGAAGAGAAGGGTTTAGCCCAGAAGGCCAACCACATCCTGGGATGTATCAAGAGAAGCGTGGCCAGCAGGTCAAGAGAGGTGATTCTCCCCCTTTACGCTGCTCTTGTGAGACCCCACCTCGAATACTGCATCCAGTTCTGGTGTCCCCACCATAAGAGAGACATGGATCTGTTGGAGCGTGTTCAGAGGAGGGCCACAAGGATGATGCAGGGGCTGGAGCACCTCTGCTACGAGGACAGGCTGCGGGAGCTGGGATTGTTCAGTCTTGAAAAGAGAAGACTTCGGGGGGACCTAATAGCTGCCTTCCAACACCTGAAGGGAACCTACAGGAAGGCTGGGGAGGGACTTTTCACAAGAGTGTCCAGCGATAGGACAAGGGGAAATGGGTTTAAGTTGAAGGAGAATAGGTTTAGATTGGACCTTAGGAAGAAATTCTTCAGTACAAGGGTGGCAAGACTTTGGAATAAATTGCCCAGAGATGTTGTGGCTGCCCCCTCCCTGGAGGGGTTCAAGGCCAAGTTGGACGGAGCCTTGAGTAGCCTGATCTAGTTGAGAGGCGTCCCTGCCCATGACAGGGAGGTTGGACTAGATGATCTCTAAGGTCCCTTCCAGCCTAGGCCATTCTATGATTCTATGATTTATTAAACAGAAATAGATATAGACCAGACAGAGGAAAGGTATATTTGCACAGAGTTATTAATGGAATTGTCAGGAACAGGCCTTGCTACAGGCTTTACTTTGCTGTAAAAAGATATCATTAGGAATGAAAACCAGGAAAAATATACTTTGAACTTACTTTTGTAACTGTGTAGGTAAGGATTCCTTAAAAGCTGTAAAGAGGCAGCACTGACTGCCTTCATTCTGGTTTTTTATAATCACCTCTTGGCTTTCAGAGCTTTTGGCTCTGTCAAGTCCAGGTTAACCAGTCTTTTTCAAGAATGCTCACTCACTGGCATTGATGCAGTGGACAGAAAGTGAGTAAAAATTATTATATTAAAGAAACAGCGTTTGGGGGAGTTTTTTTGGCCTCTGGGTTTTGGTTGTTTTTTTTCCCCCTTCAGCCTGTCTACTCTCTTGTTCTGGTTGCTTCATCTTGGGTTAAATAATACTACTGCTCAGATATTCTTCATCTTTTCTAGCAGCATTTGTGTAACTGATGAGTAACATCAGGAGAGTGATCTGGTCCCATTTTTTGGTTCTGGAAGCCTCTTCTGCCACCCTTCATGGAAATTACTATCTTACCACTTCACCTCTTCTGTGAAGATATAGTGCATCTTATTACAGCCCAGTAAATCATCTAGATTAAAGTATTTCTTTGTGCAGTGGAGGAAATTTTCATTTGGGAAGTGAATATTTCATTTTTTGCCTGATTTACTGATAAATTTTTAATATCTCTTTCCCCAGAGGGAAAAAATCTACCTGCCATCTCAATACATCATCTAGTGTGTAACATACAGGCAAATGATTATTCCCATAATTTTTATAGAACTAGCAAATATCTTTCCACCAGGCACATAATCACTGTGAGATTACAACTGAGTACTCACAAATAAAAAGTTTCAGCTTTCAAAAACAGAGAATACTTATTTATTTTTTTATTATTCCATTGAGTAATAAGGAAAAAATCCTCTGAGGAAAATGAGTAAGCGTCAGGCTTCAACAGGCAAATTCTGCACTCACTGAGTGCAGATTTGTTCTGTGACTTTTACCTTAAGTACTTGTCAGAAAGTATATTTGAATTACACCTAAATCATACTATTTTTAATGATTGTCTTTCTCAATCCTAATTTTCACTAATCTCCCTCATATCAAAACTGTGAAAAAGTTGTTCGTCCTTTATCTGTGAGCAACTAAGACATTTAGAATGTCATGTGCATGTCATATACCCTGTGAGGACATGTGAGGATTTCTCAAATCATATCAGGCTGCATGGTGAAGACATTAAGGCTAGAATGACACAGCTTGAGCTGTAGCAAAGGTCTGTAATTTCCTCGAATGTCATTGTAGGGCTATTGAATGTTCATTTGCTCTCACTGCCAGTTTGGGCCACAGAAGCAGCATCAGCCTCTAAATATTTCTGTCATGTCTATAAGTAATGATGTCATCCTGAGTTTTATACAGAGGTGT